TAGACTTAGCTAACCAAATATAATTTTTCAGAAAGTCAGGCGTATATCTAAACCGCACTAAATGCTTATATCTACTCCCCTATATGTGTTATCCAACGGTATTTTTTCACGGTTTTTGCAATCATTCACACAATCTTGGAAATTGCATCTTTTCCTATTCGTAAGATGTATATTTTACCTCCTCCTATCTTCCCAAGACCCACTGTTGTACAGTTAGAATATTCTGGAATCGGTTTATTACCCTCTAATAAGCTCTGTAATATCTTTTAGCTGGATTCCGACGCACTCATGTTGCTGTGTTGTTTGCTTATGTACAAAAATACTGTACATTTAGATGATTTTTTTGTAAAATCTGTACGTATTTCCTGTATTTTCCTGAATTAGTTTTGTAAATAAAAAATTTCCGCAATTTTTCTCAAATGATTGATATTGTCAGTTTACACTGATTCATACTTCTGTAAGATTGTCATGTTATTCTAATGTCGCCTTTACATGTCGTCATATCATGCTAGCCGAAAAAATCAATATCAATCAATATCAGTTTAATTTGTTTACAGAAAAAGCAAGCAAAACAATTTACAAACATGAGTTTCGTCGTTGGAATCAAAGATTCTATCAAGGACGCTGTGAAGTCAGTGAAGGATGTAAGTTTGGCATTCCTCAAAAATTAATCGATATTTTTGGGACAAATTTGCAGAATAATTGATTTTCAGGAAATCAAGGGAAAGAATAAGGATAAGCACGAGCACGATGTATCTCAAAGTGGATCCGAGCATGCTCTAGCCAGCAGTGTGGAGAAGAACGCACAGAAGGTATGTGGAAGTTTTTGTACCTAAAAGTGGGCGTGGCACTTTTTCGTTGTCTATGAATGGGCGTGGCATTTTGTACTCGAAAGATGGTTATGCCATACTAACTTCAAAAGAGTGCTGTGAATATATGTTGTACCAAGTGGGATGACTAGTCATCTTCGTATCTTTCTTAAACTTCCAGTCGGGTCAACCTCGGGAAAAACTTCCCCATGACAAAATCAATAAAATCAATATTTTGTAGAAAGCCGAGTGGTTAGCGCAAGGAAC